TTGCCTGAGTGCTTACACATGAGACCAAACTTGACTTCCTTTTTTAACAGTCTTAGTTACTATAATTCTTTAATCATTCCACTTCATTGGACTATCAGGGCTTAGATGATCACACACAGTGTAAAATAACATCTGTGGGCCAATCACAGTTGTCAATTTAATAGCCTAACACTTCTTTTCAGATGAAGGATTCTTGGAGGTGGCCACTCCAGGACATGTAATAATGTTAAAAAGAGAGTAAGTGATTTATCCATGGTAACTCAGCATGTCTGGGGCAGGACCTGGAACTCAGGGCTCTGACCCAAAACTTCTACCCCGAATAAGACCTATACTCTAACCAATAGGCAATGCGTCCTATGTATTCCATTAGGGGACTCCTAAGAGGTAGAAGCAAGTTCTTTAGGAAGGTACCTGCAGTCCTCCAATGAACAACTTGTCAGCTACAATAAAGAATTTAGAAGTACTTTCAAAATTCCTAAGTGCAGTGCCCTGTCAACACTACTACTTTGTTATGGTTTGCTCTAAATATGGTTTGTGTTCACACACCATACAGCTTACTAGTATTCTCCTAGTAATAGGTGACGGCTTCTCTTCCCCAATAGTCAGGGGTGAAAGTAAGGTGGTATGGGCCGATACGGCGTACCGATAAAAAGTGGCCACTGGTACCAGCCCCTAAAGCACTGTCACAGCAGCCCTTTAAGCACTTTATCATTGCTGCCCCTTTCCACCCCCCCCCCCCGGTTGCCAATGGGGGGGAGGGGATGAGTAAAAGAAACAGCTGCCCTTGGCCAGCTATTTAAAAGGGCCTGGGGCTCTGGCTGCTGCTGCGATAGCAGAAGCGGCGGCCGGAGCCCCGGGCCCTTTAAATCGCCGCTGGAGCCCCGGGCGGTGTGGGCCAGGCAGCCTGGAAGGGCTGGCTAGGGGATGCTGACCCCCCCAGCCCCTCCCCTTCTGCCCGAGGCCCCACCCCTTCTGGGGGGGGGCGGAGTCGGCCCCCATACCTGTAAGTTTTCAATTTTACTTTCATCCCTGCCAATAGTGCATCAGTATGAGGTCTGCATATTGTAGCCCCAAGTGATTTTTCTCATGGAGTCACTCTTTCAGTTCTAGTGGCTTTCATTAGAGAATACTGACCAATGGAAATTACGTAACTCAAACTTGCTTTGTTAGCTGGTCTTGAGAGTTCAGTCACTGTATGTATACAGAGAGAGAAGGGAGGTAGGACAAGGGTATTGGTGACTGAAGGCTATAAAATGGTATGTGTATGCTGCCCCCTACCCCAAAATCATTCACATAGGTGGGGCATGAGGAAAATGAGTTTAAAATGTTGGAAACCTCTAGTCAAATCTTCCGTGGTGAACATGAGCATTACTATGTGTTAAACTATAAAGACAAACTAAAAAATGTTAACAATGGAAATATACCAAACTTAGAGTGTACAGTAGAAAACTGTACACTCTGGGGCATTGAACATATTTGTGATATGTTAGGATTAATTATAAAATTCAGCATCTCAAACTTAATTCTGAAAAGTATTTTTTCTCTTTAACTATTTCAAGGATGTCGAATGTTTAGTTTTTATAATCAAGATGAATCCTTAATGGAGATACACAACAATAGATAATTTCCCTCATGAGAATATTCACTGCTGCTTCAAAGACTGATCTTGCTTCACTTCTTTATGTTTCATAATTGTCTTTGTTTTATTAATTATATTTTCCACAAAAGGGAAGTATTAATTTGGGAATGATCCAGACTGGCCAAAGACAAGAAAGTAGCAGGGATGAAACTGTGTTATTTACCTCTGGGGCTTTCCTTTCTTTTAAAAAGAAAAGTAACCATAATGAGTTATTACAATACTTTTGATGTGCTATAGCTTTCTTATTGACTAATTTATAAATGGACTATGAAGGATTAAAGTACTATCATGTAGTCAAGATCCACTTTAAAAATAGTATGGTGAGACCTCGTGTATGGGTATATCATCTATAGAGCATCCATAACACAAACATGGCCTACTCGATAGAGCACTAGACTGGGACTCAGGACAGGCAGGTTCTATTTCTGGCTCTTTGCTGGGTGACCATGGACAAGTCACTTTACCTCTCTGTGCCTTTTCAATAAAGCACGTTGAGATCTACTGATAAAAAATGCTATATAAGAGGTAGGTATTATTAGGAGGAGGATGTGACCCAGGGACTTCTTGATGTCAAATGTCAAAAAGTACAGGGGTGCATAGGGTTTTACAGGGATCCCTGGGATGGATATCTGCATAATAGTTCACTGAAGGGTGACATGTGAGGTCTCTACTGAGAGCAAGTAGCCTACTGATTGTCATAATCCCTGCAAAATCTATATATGGATAATATTTGAGGAGTTATGTATCTATTCTGAAAATTATGCTCTTAAGGTCTTGGAATTAAGGCAGGTCACCAGAAGGTGACATACTTTAGAGATGTTCCTTTCAGGCAGGCAGTAACTGACACCTAACTCCCAGTCTGGCCATTTGTGTATTGTCCACCTCATGCTGTATGCCTATTTGCACACTGAGCCAGGTGCAAATTGAGAGATTGCAAAAATCTATAAGAGAGGAAATCCACAGGCCCAAACAAAGGGCGGCGGGGGGAGGTGGTGTCCTGTTTATGAATAAAAATGAAGAATTGGTCCCATGTATATGGAGTGCAAAGACACATTGAATCCTTCACCTTGGAGACTAGCTAACAGCATGCATGTGTCATGAAAGAAGAAGCTGTAGAGTGCTGCAAGGATTCTGGGTGAGCAATACCCTCCTAGACATGAGTGTATCATGTTAATTAAATCCAGGCTCTAGAATGTGTTATGATTTTTTTATATCCATTTGTTGCCAATATTTCTACTTGCTGTCACTTGAATCTCTGTGCTTTGTTAAATAAACTTATATTTGATTCACTATAAACAAATCTAAGTGCTGTGAGTTACGCAGCGCGGCGGTCTGAGGTGGAGCCAGTAAGCTGGGTTGTCCTGTTCCTTTGGACTATGAGTTTCCAGTGGACATGAGGGTGGACACCCCAGGGGGACACTTGGAGAGCTTGAGAGCTGATGGGTGCCTATCGTTAACCTGCAGAGTAACAGCAGGGCCTGCAAGGCCTAGAGGGGAGCGCTTGTGTTGCCAGTGGGGTTGGGGAGCTGATGCATGGCAGACACAGACAAAGCTTTCTCACACTAAGGGCAGGTGGCAGCAAGGTGTACCCCTCAACTCAGGGTAATCCTGGGAAGCATTACAGGGAGTAACAATTAGAGTTATAATTCTGATGTAACATTAATGTTTTGTATCTGTTCGCTCTAGTTATTCACATGTGTCACAAACCTGCAATATCCCCAGAGGTGTGATGTACTTGTCGGTTTGATATCAAAATAGTAACACAGGAAAACAGGCTTTTTCTGTTTGCTAACTGTATTTACATTTGTAAATAAAAAGAACGCCCTAAATTGATTATCTTGGCTTGTTTTGCTTGGACTTTTGCATGTATGTTTAAACAGGAGACCTGATCCTGCTTCAATTTGAGACAGTGGCAAAGCTTGCATTGAATTCAAGAGGTGTAGAATTGTGTCTGTAGATGGATTTTATTCAAGATGTAACATGCTTCTCAAATCTCAATATAGATTGTTTATGGACTGTTATGAATATGAAGGCACCTGATTTTAAAAAAAAAAGTATTTCCTTCAGCAGTACTGTTGACTTTTAAATGGCTCTCCTTGCGAGAGATTATAACTTCACTTGGGTTAACTACTTGTGAAGTGTCTGTAGTGAACAATTTTTGTATGCAGCCCTTCGGTCATTTTGGTGGAACACAAACACAGTTCCATCATCCAGCAGTACCTGTTCAAGTCACATGACTGACCTTGCCAAGAGGAACATTTGCTGCTGAGAACAGCTGAAACTGAACAGAATGAAAACCAGGCAGAATGAAGCTACCCATCTCATCAGGGGAGCAACTAGAATCCAAATACCTTCATTTCCCTGCGACTGCTAGTGTGGGAAAGTGATTGCTAATGAAGTCTGAAATCATGTTAGAGAAGTGGAAGATTCTCTCAGTCGGCTCGTATCCTTGAAACTATTCATTAGCAAACACTATTTACCTTCTATGGTGGCAGGCAAAGTTCCTTGTCTACACTGGTTCTTTTTACTCCCCTAGAGAACCAAATTCAAACATTGCTGTAAGACTGTATGTTAAAATTATAGCAAAGATGCAACAAGATTTATGAATTATCAAAGTATCAAAGGATGGAGAGTGAAACACTGCACAGCTAAGGTACAGAATTCCTGTGAAGACAAAAACCTGGAATCAGACTCAGATTTCTTTAGATTATTAGAAAGAAAACTTTTAACTGAGTGAGCCAAGGAGATTTTGAAGTTTAATGATGAAAGATGACTGAAATCAATCTCAACAATATAGAGAAAAACACTTTCAACAAGCCAAATGTGTTGTATAAATCATAAATTAGCCAAGCAATTCACACAAGATGACCTGGGACCAAGTTCACTGGTGTTGTATGTAGGCACAATTTTGTTGAGATAAATAGAATTGCTCTCACTTACACCAGGAGGGAATTTGGCCCCTTGGTTATGATGTGATGCTTAACCAATTGTTTTTTGGAGGGTTCCCCCCCCCTCAGATGTGAGCTAGATTAATCTTTTAGATTATGGTGTCTATTTCATGCATATTAGCAAAATTTTAAAAATGCTGAAAAAATGCATTTTTTAGCAAAATAACAAATGCTGGTGAAAGTATTAGCATTGTCAGTTAAATGTACACATGTGACTTAAAATATCACACATCAGGACTGGCCAAACATTTGAAATGATGTTGCCATGGGCTGTTGGCAAATGTAAGCATCTCATTTCCTTGCAAATCTACATGCATTTGAAAAAAAAATCATAATAATATTCTCAGGCAGTAGAACCACAAAGACACTAACTAAACAAAGTTACATTTCACTCCCATAGCAACTATACATAACAACTAAACACTGCCCAGTCAGGCGGGACACTTATTACCTTCCTGACAAAGTGTATGTTAGTTGCCTTTATTTTAACAACATCCCCAGTTTTCTTCAGACTTCTCAAGCTTGGAACTTAAAAATAAGGTAAAATGTATATTTCACACTTCTGTTTGCACAGGTGGCAATACCACATCATCACTGCTTCTTTTTGATATGTTTAGGTCTTGTTTCAACACAGGGTGGGATTTTATCATTTGGGGAGTCTTTTATGATGTGGTAATGCAAAATACTTGTTAGAGAAAAACCTAGTCATCAGATGTTGAGCTAAATAATGAAATAAACCACTATGAACTTTTTGGATGCCTATTTACTTTCAGCTGAAGGAGATAGTTTGTGTGGAAAGATTGCAAAGTATCTAACTATTAAAGAGTAAATATCCAAACTAGTAGAGCTGGTTGGAAATTTTCTGATGTAAAAATATTTTATTGGAAAAAGCTAATTAATCAAAAGTGAAATATTTTGTGACACTGTGTTAATTTTGAGTAAATTTTGTTTTGAAAATTATGGACTGGAGCGTTCTGATAAGGTCAAAATATTCTGTTCTGACATTTTCGGAATGTAACATTTTTGTTTTCCATTGTGAAATTACTTTCCTTTAAAAAATGTATAATAGAATTAATATAATATAAAATGTAGAAATTAGAATAAAACATGTTGATGTTATTAAAACAAAACATTCTGACCTTAATTTTTAAAATTTCATTTTGTGGGAAATTTTGACATTTTTGGTTTTCATTTCATTGAAATTGTGTTACTTTCCATGAAATAGAAAATCAGCTCAGCTCTACAAACTAGACATCACTTGCTTTAGCAATCAATCACCAGGAGAGAATGGATTTGCAGATCGGGACCAAATTCTGTTCTCAGTTACATCACTGTAAACCTGGACTAACTCCATACAAGCTTATACATTTGTACCAGGGTAAATGAGAGTAGATATTAGCACATGGTTTCTTACAAAACCTACAGGAAGCTTTAGGTCTGAAGAGTTCTAACTCGTATGTAATTATAAGTTACACTATGTGTAACATCTTAAGGACTGGAATAGATTTCAAACTGAAACTAGGAGTTAGCCCTGCAGTTTGAAAATGCAACTCAAGACTCAGAGTTTATACAGAACCTTACACTTAATTAAATCACTGGTTGAGTTAATGATTATACTTGGCTTTTATGCAGCATTTTTCAGCTTCAAAGTAGCCTACAAAGTAATTAATTAAATTAATGTACCATTTAAGCTGATCAAAACCATAGAAACCATATCATTTGTATTAAAAGCAACATGTCTTAATATATCTACAGCTAGTGCAGAATATGGCTGCCTGTCAGTTAGCCAAGAGAGACATATTTCAGCAGTTCTTCAACAGCTTCATTGGTGTCCTATTCACTTCTGGATATAGTTAAAGGTGTTGATTGTGTTTCTATTTAGCACTATGTGACTTGATCCCTGGCTATCCAAGAAACCACCTCTCTTCCCTGGAATCTGCCATGGCAGTTGAGGTCAGCTGGGGAGTTTACACTAACAATCCCTTACTTTCTGAAGCCTGAATTCAGAGTTCTGTATCCCCTGAAATAACCAATCACATCACAGGCATCTACATTGACATTTTAGATTGAGCTGGGCCATCTCATTTATTTGGTTTCTTTATATTTTTCAGTTCTAGATGTTTCTTTTTCTATTTTTAGATCTGCAAAAGTATTCTGAGGTCTTGTAAAGTGACGTTAATAGCAACCACTCTAATTCCTGCTAGATGAGTGACCCAGCCAGAGAGTTAGACCAACCACAACCACCAGATCATGCTGGAGTCCAAGCCGTCTATCAGAAGCTGGTCTTGTTGACAAAGCACAACCTAAAAGTAACTATCCTTTACAGCAAGGATTTTTTTTTTAAGTGTTTAAGCGCTGGTTGGCAATTCATTTGGTTACATAAAGGAGGTTCTCTCTGAACAAAACCACATGTCCACATTGCAGCCCTAAGCTTAGGGCTTCAACCAGCTCTGTAATAACATACGTTACACCCAGCCCTGCAGTATTTTACTCTAGAGTAAGCTGAAAGTTTTTAGTTGTTTCCACTGTAGATCACTGTACATTTGCAGTATTTTATCATCAGAGGCCATAGCCCAGTCCCAAACAGTCTTTGTAGCAGATGTCCCTTGAGTCATGGGCCATTTTCCATGAGTTTCCACTCACGAGGGCCAAAGGTGCTGCCTGTTCTTAAGGGGAAAGATTTACTTATTCAGCCGGGGAGACCTTGCCCCGGTCATTTCAGGATCCTATCTTTGAAGCATAGGAGGAGGCCAGCCACACAGAGAAGCACACACCAGAATACAGTGCAGAGGCAACTAGATTGAAGTTAATCTTTAAAAGGTCTGGAGGCAGCTAGAGAAAAAAGAGGGGTTGTAGTGTCTGAGGAAAAAGTGATTTTTAAGAGGACCTGGAGAGTAGAGGCTGAAAGGTTAGAGAAAGCAGAAAAAGTCTGTGCAGGCTGGATGGGTTTGGAGCATCATCTTCTGATTATGGTCTATAACAGGAGTGGCCAACCTGTGGCTCCGGAGCCATATGCGGCTCTTCAGAAGTTAATATGCGGCTGCTTGTATAGGCACCGACTCCAGGGCTGGAGCTACAGGCGCCAACTTTCCGGTGTGCCGTGGGTGCTCACTGCTCAACTCCTGGCTCTGCCACAGGCCCTGCCCTTACTCCTGAGCCTGCCATGCCCTCGCTCCTCCCCCCGACCCCCAGAGCCTCCTGCATGCCATGAAACAGCTGATTGGGAGGTGTGGGGAAGGAGGGGGAGGCGCTGATCGGCGGGGCGACTGGTGAGTGGGAGGTGTTGGGAGTGGGGTGTGGGAGATGTTGGGGGGTTGCTGATGTATTACTGTGGCTCTTTGGCAATGTACATTGGTAAATTCCAGCTCCTTCTCAGGCTCAAGTTGGCCACCCTGATCTATAACCTCCTCCTCTCCAGCCTCCTTGACACCGACAGGGCATTCTGCCATCAACAGAAAACATCTGCTATGATCTTTCTTGCTCATTGTCCTGATTATGTCACCCCAGTCTTTGAATGCCTCCGCTAGCTCCTTCTCCACCACCTGAAGTTGAAGCTTCTTGTCATCACTTTCCCAGCCCCTCACACCTTTGCCCCTCACTACTTATCCACCTGGGTTTTTATTGAGTCACCTCTGCCCCCTTTTCTCTGCTATTGAATCTTGACTGCTAAGAGGATTGTTTTATGTGGCACAGACTACAGTCAACTGTGCCACCAATATCTGTACTCTTGTGTTTATTACCATGGTCCAGAGAAGACAGCAAACAAAAAAGATGACAGTTTTACTTGACAGCAATATTATACATGTCATTTAGCTAGAAAAGTTAATGTGCATTCTCACTCAATTAGCTTCCACTGATGCAATTACAGAATGGCCCTGGATGAGGAAGGCCAATTGAAGTATCACAAGAGTAGGCAGCATCCCACAATCCCTCACTTCTGCAGGAGAACCTGGTCTATGTGCAAGTGGAAGAATGAAATAGACAAGCTTGGCTTCCTGTGTTAATTTAGTAGTGACTATATTGGGAAGAGATCCACCAAGAGCATACATTTCCCTATTACACTGGGTTAGTTGCTCGGTTTCTCCTGAGCTAACACCCATCCCTCACTCTGCAGTGACAGGGAGGATGAAACAAGCATTCCACTGCACACTATTTATTACATATGTGGTAATACATTTGTTTATCCAAACACATCTTATCCAAAAAGCACTACTATCTGAAAATGTGCTGCATCCCCAGCCATGAATCATTTCCACTGAAAAGTTCCTCATTTATCAGAAATGTCATTAATCTGAATACATTCTATGTACACATTCTATAATCTACAGTTGTATATATGGTAGTTTATAAATTATTTAGGGATTCTTCAGGATGGAAAGTATTATCCAAGTGGAAGATATTATTGTTAAGGTAGTATTACCTTAGGCCAAGTGATTAGCCAATATTTGGGGACTTCCAGGTTGTTTCTGTGGGGACGAGAAATCTAAAAGTCTGGTAATACAAGGGGAAAAGTAAATGGGGATTTTCAGATTACTGATATTTTTTCTTTTCAGATACCTTCTTTTCATAAATACAACACACCTTTCAGTGATGGGGATTTACAGCCTGCAAAGATAGTTGACCATTACCTGACAGGAAAAGAACTTTACAAAGAGATCAAAAAGTACTATGGACTGTCAGGAGTGGACTTAGTGAGGCAAATATATTCTGAGCATTTGCTAGAAGGTTAGTGGTACTGAAATTTGTTTCTAAGCACCATAGTCTAATCTTATATCAGAGGGGTAGCCGTGTTAGTCTGAATCTGTAAAAAGCAACAGAGGGTCCTGTGGCACCTTTGAGACTCACAGAGGTTAGTCTCAAAGGTGCCACAGGACCCTCTGTTGCTTTTTATAGTCTAATCTTGATTCCAAACAAAGTCAATGAGAAAGGATCAGCCCAAAGTGAGGAATAATAGGCAATCCAACAGAGGAATTGTCCTATCAGATCAGACCACTGGTCCATCAAATCCAGCATACTGTTTCCTACAGTGGTCAGCTCACATGCTTCAGAGAGAATGGGTAAGAAACTCCATTATGTAGGGAAATTTCTTCCCAAGCCTAGGCAGTTAATCGTTGCTGTATCCACAAGTACAGGTATAAACTCACTGGGCTATTCTTGTGGTAACTTCTGATCCATTATGTTTTCTACTTAGCTCATGCCCTTTTTAGAAGTTGTCTGTAGAATTTAATTTAAACAACAATCTTCAGTGGTCACCCTTAAAAGCATTCTGGTTTTGTTTTAGATAATGAGATGTTACCATGTTATTTACAGTATTGTCTTTAATATTATCTTACACAGTAGACAAGATTTCAACGGCAACCATTGTAACAACAACAAAATCAACTGAACGAGGACAAGATAATACATTACAATATTGCATAGCTTTTCCCTCTGAGGCTTTGTACAGTTCACTTAATCTTTCTATTTCACTTTCCATAGCTGTAAAATTAGAGCTATTAGCTAATTTATGGGGGTGTTCTGAGGAACAAATGGTTAATTTTTAGGAAGGGTTTGGAGGATGAGAAGTGCTAACTTCTGTTTTATGTTCTTCAGTTTTGCACTTATTCTCTATAGAGTTATAGTATCTGATTATGATCTCATCTGTGCTGATTTTACACCAGTGTAACTCCACTGACTTCTCTACAGAGTTACGCCTGGTTTACACCTAAGAATGCAAGATCAGAATAAATTGTTTTGTCTTTTTCATATAAATGTGTAAACAAACCAATGGAGCCAGATCCTGCATTGTTTGTGCATAAAACAGTCCCAGCAAAATCAACAGGAGTTTTGCATGCACAAGGAATATAATAGCATCATGCCCACTACTAACTTGAAGTTACTTAGTATATATTTTCCCTTTAGGGAACCAGTCCAATGCAGCAGTTTCACTCCCTAGCCAGAGGATGATTGATAACATCTTGGCCAGGAGAAGTATTCAACGGCTTGAAAAGAAAAAACAAACGGTCAAAACGATCAAGTAATAACATTTCTGCTTTGGTCAAGCTTTCTGTAAAGTTACTTATGACACTTTATATTATTGATATCCCCATGATTAATTCTCTATGATCTCTACAGACATCTTATGTAACTTTGATATACTAGATATTATCTATTTAGCCTAGTCTTTTCTTGAAAGGATGAAAAGAAATTGAGTTTCCCTTTTTGCAAGCAAGCACCGTTTTGGAGGCCCAAAGAGAAATTTTAAACTTTCCCCACATAGCAAGTAAGTATAGAAATGGAGCACATGTTAATCAGAAAAAATAGTTTGATCCCATAATAAACTTGTGTAGTCTGTTACTGGCATCCTGATTGAGGAGCTCTGAAGTCATTTAAGACAAAGTTTCGCTGCTCTTAATCTAGTTTTTACCCTTTGAAATATTCTCTGAAGGGGCTAGAAGACTAACAGCAGATTCCGACAGTATGTGTATTGTGTGCACTTTTTCATTTTAATCTCTTCCATCAGAATGTTTCTATTTTTGTATTGTGGGAGCAATGGCTTTTGATTAATAGTAGTCTTGTCACAAATACTACCAAAGTAAAACTATACAACAGTCTAGAAACAGGGGAAAATAAAACAACCCAACAACACTGAATCCATTTGACACAGTGGAAGTATTCAGTCAAAAATCTAAGAAGGAATCAGAATGCAACCTTTTAAGAAAATGTCATCTGTTTTGGTTTTCCAGAAAGCTGAATGAAGAAAAAGTGTGTTTGGAGAAAATGCTCCAGGAGTTACAATTAGAAAAGAAATCCTTTAGGCATGGTATGGTATCACTCAATTTACATGACTGTAACCAGGTGGAGCCAGCAGCAACAAGGGCCGGGTTCAGTATCTAGGGGTTCCTTTTCAACAATACAACACAAAACCGGCTTGAGTCCCCACCCAATGACCTGGAACAATTACACACCACCCTATAAGAGGCAATACTTCCCCTCTTGCAAGCACAGATTCTGAGTGTAGCAAAAACTTTTAATAAAAGGAGGGAAGTAACTCAGAATTAATTTGGGAAAACACTGCAGCTAGGGTTCATAAACTCAAACCATGAGCAAAAGACCCACCCCCAAGTAAGTTGGGCAGTGTCCTTTTCCCCTCAGGTTCTTAAGTCCAGCAACCCAAAAGTCCCATTAACGTGCCCATCCCTTCTCTGTACCCCACTCACAGTTGCTGTCCTTGGCCAGTGCAGCCCCAGAGTTCAGAGGTTCATCTGCAGAGTTCACCTCCCATCCTATGTGGGGGGGGGGGGTCAGGAGGCACCTTACACGCTCTGCTGCTCGGGCATTCACTTGTCACTCCAATGGCCAATTGTCACGCCTCTGCGGGGCTCTGCTCTGGACCTCTCCACCAGCCTCCCTGCTGGCTCCTTGCTGCACCTCTCTGCCAGCCACCCTGCTAGCCGCTTGCCACGCCTCTCCACCAGCCACCCTGCTGACTGCTTGTTGTGCCTCTCCACAGCCACCCTGCTGGCTGCTCACCAAGATGTCTTCAGGACCCCCCTCCCCTGCACCAATTAACACAGCACTCAGTGATTTCAGCTGTTAGTGTGGGAGGCAGAGCCTCACTGCTGGTGCACACTGGGCTGTCTCTTGCAATAGAGACACTGTCCCAAAGTAGTTCTAGCACTTAGACATATGTATCAGCGATTTCAGCTCTGCAACATGTAACAATACTCTCAATCAAATCTAAATTAGCTCTTTTATTATGCCAAGAAGAAAGAAAGGCTCAAATGGTGTCTAGGACCATTAAACAGAGCCTACCCTCTCTCAACTCATTGGGTTTTGGAACCCATGTCCCCTGCCTAGTGAGTGCCATGTAGTTGAGGGTGAGTTCCTCCATCGGGGTATGCCAGGTACAGTTCTGCTGCTATTGGTTCACACAACAAGGATAACAACCCTTTATTACTCCTGCCCCAATAATAAGGAGACTGGGGATCCAACACAAGCCACAAATGATCATTTGGGCAAGCAATCCCATCATGCTGAGCACCTAGGCAGGGTGGGTGTGTCCATGCAAATGAGATCAGCTTCTGAAGTCTTCTTCCACAGCTCACCACTAGATGTCAGGGGAGAGCTCATTCAGACTCTGCTTACGTTATATTTATATAGAGCCTTTAATACCAAATATGATTACCCTGATCTAGATTTCTGAGTTAATAGGTTCCTTCTGTTGTATATTCTGCCTAAGTTCAAAACTTTTTCTGATTGCATTTTGATGTGCTAATATATGAGCTCCCTATGGTCCTGCTCCTGCAAACATTTATGCAGGTTGTCACAGTCCCAGAGTAACTACACCTCTGACCTCTTCCTGGCCTCATTGAGAGCACCCCTACTTAGGCCTCCGGCCACCACCTTTCTCTGGGAGGGAACTCGCATCCCTCTTCCTGCAGATGGGGATTTAGGTTGCAATTCCTTCTCTTCTTCATAGTGATCACTTTAGTGGGTTACTTCAGCACTGTTATCTCCTAAGAGCTATGACAGGGAGATGAGTCACTAGCCAGCTTTCACAAAGCATAGTACATTTATTTAGGACAAAGCATTACAGAGAAAACATATCGTGAAAACAATAAACAGTTTAGATGCATGCCTTTCCCACCTGGTGTCACCCATCTTCCACGTGGAGAACCTGGTAGGTTTCAAAGTCCTTCACACCTTTCCAACAGGGTTTTGACCTTGTGGATAATGTCGTGTGTCAGTTCTTGCATCAAGTGAAGGTCACCACTCCTCTGTAGTAGGCTGCCCACTTTATACAATGCTCAGTTCTTTATCTGTTGGGTTTCCTGAACCAAGTCAAAACCAGGGGCAGTACTCTGCAAACTTGTTAACCTATCTAAAGATTTGCAGTAATCACCCTTATTCCCCTGCATGGGCATGCAGCAGGACTCACAGCTGGGCCCACTCTGATTATACATTTAGTCAAAGTTATTGCAATCAAGTTGTTAGTTTGTGTAGGGACTGGATGGCTCCAGGGATTTGTAATGGGTTAGAGAGCTTTCAGCTCTAGACTGCCAGTTGAAATCAAGAGCTGGTCAATAGTTTCCACATGTTGCTATCATCTCATGGCTGTGTGATAGTCTGGATGAAATAATTTGGTAGTCACACTCCAATTTCCCAGTAGACAAGTTTATACCCTTCAGGAAATCCTACTAGAAGCGATACTAACTGTCAGGCTTGTTTGCTGCTTCATTAGAGAGGCCAAAGACTGAAGAGCCTAGAGAGAAATCCTCTTGCATTGCAGAAATGGTTCCTTTGGGGCAGGCCTGAAGCATATTTGTCAACAGGGAAATTTGGATAGCTGCATAGTGCTGTACCTGTTCTATGAGTAAAGAACATTAGCCTTAAGGGCTGTTAAATTGTCACCTTTCACAAATATTGACTTCAAATTATTTTTTGTAAATCTCATGGTTGAATTTTATTTTATTATTATTATTTACACAGAATGCTGTAGAGATCTTATAGTCTGTCATGTCCATGTTTATGAAATTTCTGGAAAATGTGTATGGTTAATGGATCCTGCACAAGATTAAGCCCCCTCTACTAATTTATGTTGTGCTTTTAGATTTCAAAGTGTCTCCTCGAGACATGGAAAATAAACGTACTCTACAGAATCGAATCCACGCTACAATGGAGTGTTTGCCTGAACTAGAGGCCAGAGTCCAGAACCTCAGGTAGCTTTCTACTTGATTTTCTCCACTGACGTAAAATAAGAATTGGGGCAAACATGCAGTATTTCTAAGACTACATCTCCATGGAAAGCGTTACTTTACTAAGAACTTCCCTAAAAGTTGTTATGAGGGTTTCTGATTAATTATTAATTCAAGTTCCAAATTTATGGCCCAATACTGTGCACAATGGCTATCTCTGTGCATAGACCTTGGATTGAAGTAAACAGCCCTTCCCCAAGTCAAGCGGCTACAGGATCCGGGCTTGGGGCCATTTCTTTGTTATATGTTGCCTCTTGAAGAAATATTCGCTGTAAGCCTTTGCTCCATTTCATTTGAGAAATAACTGATGTTTGCTATATTGTGCATCTGCCTTCAGACTCTCTGGATCTGTGATTTCACATCATATCTTAGTTTTACCATTTCACCTCATAGTCATGTCACAATTGACTTAGTAGCTTAGGATATGCACATATTTCTCAAAATGATAAATCTCAGTTGTATTCTTTATATTATAACACATAAAATATACACTAAGTCACAATGTGTGTAAGACTGTAAATATGTGAAAAATGATAACATCAAGGCGAGAGATGTGGTATATGGCAGTATAACCCTAATCCAACCCTAATCTTCTATGATTCTATAATGAGGAACTATGGAATGAAATTTACAAAGAAAAATTTAGGCTGAATATTAGGAAGTTACCTTGGCAATGAGAGAATTAAAGTCTCAGAGAGATGGATAGTGAAATATATCAATTAGGCCATAGAATACTAAAGATGGTCAGGAATTATTCAAACAAAACGGTTTGTCAAAACTGTAACTAGTCAAAACCAATCCTTTTCCATGAAAAATCTCTCTACTGGAAATATTTTTAAAAAGTTTCTAAATTGTTGAAACTTTCTGTTTCAATATTAAAAATTCTGGTTTTCCAGTTCAAAATGACTTTTTGTATAGAATTTGTAGCTAATTATAGAGGAAAAAAAGTCAAAATCAAAATGAAACATTTTGAAGTTATTGAAATGAAACATGTCAATTGACCTAGACCAATTTTTGAGGGTTGAGGAGAATCAAACCCCCCACCCCCAAATTTTGACTTTTTGTTCCAATTCAGGAAAATTTTCATACGACAAGAGAACCATTGCCCACCCAGCTCTGTAGAATAGCCTCCCAAAAGAAGCCCCATTGTTTGGGACTGGACAAAATGCTAGAAAATGTATTGTGGTGACACATCCTAATTGGCAGGGGAATGGGCTTCCAATAGCTGGTAATAGATATTTTAGCCAGAACAAGTTTTTGGTTCTAGAGGGCAATTGGTTCTTTATTTAAAAAGACAGAAAGGGCCATTTAACATGAGTAGCAAGAACTTTTTTTTTTTTAACCTTTTTGATTATGCAAAATAAGCATAAACGATGATATGTTACTGTACAGAGAGGAGCTTCATAGAGAAGATGAGAAGAAGCTAAGGCCTTACATTGGAGAGTCTTTGTCAGTTGCTGCTGAGCCCGATCAGCTACAAGATATGAAAATGGTTTGTGCTTTGAATTTCTTATAACTTTTTTTCATACTGTTAGAAAACCCAGCCTTTGATTCCATTTGAGAAACTAAGAATTAGAGTTGGTCCTGAACCAAAATATTCATCTGAGCACTCCTGAATTTTGGAAAAGTTCATATCCAGATCTAAATTTTGTGGCTTTAGCTAATCGTTAGTAAGGCTGTTGCATGTGTCTTTAAGCCAAAACTGTAGAATGAATCTAACTGAAGGCTCTTATTGGCCTTCTAGATCAAACTTAGAAAAGACAGCTTTTGTTTATCTACAAAATGGTGTTATAATGGGTAAATTTAGAAGAATTAAAACGATGTTTTCTAACAATGTGGTTAGCAATTTTACAAATAAGAAATATCCTGTCTCTAAGGTTCAAGAACTACTTGGTGAAATGGTGGAAAATCTGATGGATGACTACATAATACATGTGCCTCAAGACATGTATCCTTGCACTGTAGAATATTCTTTAGAGCTAATCAAAGTAATACTCGGCATTCTACTGTCACTTTCAAAATTTCAGCAGATTACTTTCAAAACCTATTGTATGTCCAATTGTGTTTTAATGGTAGGCTCCCCCCCTGTTTTGGTTTTCTCT